CCGGCGATGACCACCCCAGCCCCGCCCAGCGGCTCAAGGCTGACCGCCGGCCCCACGCCCAGCGTCCACTGTCGCGCCCGGAGCGCGGCCGAAGCGCCGGCCCCCGCCGGCAGCGCCGCGCCCGGCCCCACGAGTGCGCCGACTGCGGCAAGCGCCTGGAGCCGGCGGCGGGCAAACCGCGCCGCGCCAAAACCGCCAAACCCAGCACCAAGAGCGGCGTGGCCAACACGTGCGGCGAGTGCTGGCAGAGCTTCGGGCAGAGCTCGGACCTGGTGAAGCACCTGCGCATCCACACCGGCGAGAAGCCGTACGCCTGCGGCCACTGCGGCAAGCGCTTCAACGTCTCCTCCAACCTGATCCGGCACCGGCGCATCCACACCGGCGAGCGGCCCTACGGCTGCGGCGACTGCGGCAAGCGCTTCACCGACAAGTCCACGCTGACGCAGCACCGGCGCATCCACACCGGCGAGAAGCCGTACGCCTGCGGCCACTGCGGCAAGAGCTTCAGCCGCAGCTCGCACCACAAGCGGCACCAGCGCACCCACGCCGGGCTGCCGGCGGGCGCGGCCGGGGGGCTCGCGGGGATCACTGGGATTACTGGGATTACTGGGATTACTGGTGGCGGTGGTACTGGTACCATTAGCGGTGTTGCCGGTGTTGGTCGTGGTGTTACCGGTGGCGTTACTGGTGTTACCGGTGCTGTTACTGGTCTTACTGGTGGCGTTACTGGCGTTACTGGTGTTACCGGTGCTGTTACTGGTCTTACTGGTGGCGTTACTGGCGTTACTGGTGTTACCAGTGCTGTTACTGGTCTTACTGGTGGCGTTACTGGTGTTACCGGTGCTGCTACTGGTGTTACTGGTGGCGTTACTGGTGTTATGGGTGCCGTTACCAGTATTACTCGTGGCGTTACTGGTGTTGTTACCAGTGGTGTTACTGGTCTTGCTGGTGGCGCTACTGGTGTTACTGGTGGTGCTACCGGTGTTACTGGTGGTGTTACTGGTGTTACCAGTGCTGTTACTGGTGTTACCGGTGTTACCGGAGGGGTTACTGGTGCCGTTACCGGTGTTACTGGTGTGACCGGTGCCCTTACTGGTGTTACTGGTGGGGTTACTGGTGCCACTGGTGTTACCGGTGCTGTTACTGGTGTTACTGGTGCTGTTACTGGTGTGGCCGCGGTGCTGCCGCCCATCTGGGCCTACCCCAGCCAGGCTTGCTGAGGGGGGAAAAAAAAAAACATTTGGAATTTTTTTTTGGTGGTTTTTGGGGTTTTTGGGGGGTTTTTTCCTGGTTTGGGTCTTAATTGAATCCTGGTTGTGGTTGGAGCGTTTTGGGCCCAGTCCAAATCCCGATCCCAGTCCAAATCCCGATCCCAGTCCAAATCTGTATCCCAGATTTGATCCCAGTCCAAATCCCGATCCCAGTTTTGATCCCAGTCCAAATCCTGATCCCAGTCCAAATCC